CGAGCAAGCTCGTAGCGCAGCTCAATCAGATCATGGGCAGGGATAAACGGTGCCAAGGTCTTTGAGTAAGAGACAAGGGCCTCAGGATTCTTGATGATGAAAAGATCAATCCAGGTGTGGACAATCCCGTTGACAGTCATAGGACGCTTCCTGCTTTCCCACTTCCTTTCCCTTGAGAAAGCAGAGTGGCTGCAACGCTGCAAGGTTGAAAACCTCACTCCCATACCTCCCCCACTCCTTGACACACTATCCCTATCCTAGCTCACAATCTTAACCTATCCTTGCCTCTTTTTGCCCTATGCCCATAAGACTGTGGCACCGTGGTGGCTGGTATGTGCCCGGGGCTCGTGCTGCCTGCGTTGGCCGGGCGGCGGGGCCCATGGGCGGCTCTCGCGTCCTTGCTTGTCGTGCGGCGGTCACCTGCGTGGCTTGTACCTGCATTGCTGTGACGCAGCATAGTTTTTAATCCATTGTACATTTGTAAATAGTTGTAAATATTTCTGTGTTTGTACTTGTTATCAGTACTTCGGTACTAAATGTTTTCAACGCTGTGTTTGCCCACTGAGCGTGCCCATCTGCTCTCACTTGCTTTATATATTTTATATCTTACATCGTATATTTTAAGTTATAATTTAAGTTGTTTTATTCCAACTATTTTTTATTCGTACTATTTGCTGTTTATTGTTAATACTAGGTATAATGTAATTCATACCACTGTATTTTTCATTGCACCAGGGCCAAATGGGGTGGTACCCCTCGATCCCAAATAAAAATTAAATCAATCAATTAATCGAAAGAGCGGGAAATTTTACAAAAATAGTTACTTGAAAAAAAATTCATCATTTCGATTTTTTTATTTTTTTTAATAAAAGAAAAAAAAGGCGTGATTTCTGCATTTTTCTCATAATCATCGATACTTATTATTTCAGACTATTTCACACATAGAAAAATTATGCTAAAAGGGTTTAGAGGTAAAATTTTGTGTAAATATCAAAAAATTGATTATTTTAGTGATAGGAAATCATGGAATACTGTAAAATTTCGAGTAGAATAGAATAACTGCTTTAAAAATCGTTTTTGACGCTTTATTTGATTTTTTTGAATTTTTCTCAGTGAATTAAATATAAAAGTCCTGTTACGACACTTAATTACGTGAACTTTTTTCCAATTTTATAAAAATGCTTTTATTATAAAACGAAAAGTTGAGATTTCTAGTTTGGATACATTTTTCAAGTTCGTAAGTTTTTCATGAGCTGAATAGTATTCAAGAAAATTTGTCTTCTTAAATGGTATGACATGCATCGTGTTATTTTTTGATCTAGAATAATTTTGAATTTTCTTTTGTGGATGTAGTTTTGGCTTTTATATGATGGGCCTTTTCAAGGTCAGGAATAAAAGTGAAACTTTAAGGTGCCTTGACGGCTACTAAAATCAAAAATCTATCATCTAGAAAGTTTTTAATACTAGAATAATCGTCATTACTACAGTAAATAAAATTTATATTTTATTTACAATGTTACTGTAAATAAAAATGTAATATTAAGAGGCGCTGCGTTTTATAAAAATCACACCTATCGAAAATTCATACGCTATTTGAAACGGAGAATGATGTTTCTTTGAGGATATTTATTTATATTACATATCTTTTTCTTTTGACGGGATTTTTAATTTTTTATAGCTTATCAACTGTATCATCATTATCAGATGCACTCGAAATTTGAGTACTAGGTTGTGACTGAGAGGACACGGCCAAGGTGATGACTATTGTCACTGTCAAAAAATTTTCTCCACCGTATTTAATCGGCTTCTAAGCCCTTGATATATAAAAATTTCTTCAACATACGAGCCCATTTGAGGCTGATTTTGTGCTGAGCGTGCTCAATGACTAATCCATTCGCGTTCAGTCGAGGAGAGCAGCGTGCTATGTGGCGACAATTCACACTTCTCCTCGTACTGTAATCATTGAATATAGGTCGAGGAACCGTGCGTACAGTCGAGAAGGCGTGAGAAGTCCCGCAAACTCGCCTAGAGCCGACACGACTCGCGCAGCTCGCGTCCGTATGCCCTGTGCTGTCTGCTACATGTTAAAGTGGCGAGCCGACTCGCGCTGCCTTTAACCTCTCTTTCTTGAATGTAAACATATCTACACGAAATAGAAATGTCATTTTTAATTCGTGTTTGTGTTCGCACCGAACACGATGACTGCAAAAATGAAGCAGTAGAAACTGAATAATGGAAAGAAATGTAGCCCGTCCGATGTTATACCAACTCTACTCATCAAGACACTAGGAAAATCAGTGTATTTCGATTCAAATTGGAATAACTAGTACTTTATGTAACCCCTCGTTTTTCAGAAATAAAATATCAACACAAGTTGCATACAGTATTTTACACGAGACGTATGCCTATACAGTATGTACACAAGAGAGTACAACTAGCGGCAAAGTTACATTTTTTAGTTTAGAGTGCTATAAAGAAATTAAATGGAAGATAACAATTATGCATGATATAGTTCTCAAAACGAGCTCTTGTGCAGAAAAATCTTTTATACATCAATGGCTGGTTCGCTTCGCTACGCAGCCTCGGCCCCTACAGCGCCCTAACGCTGCAAACACACCTAGACTGTATCCACACCGCTACCAGCCCTTGATGTGTAAATAACTATTTCAGCCTACGCGCCCGTTTGAGGCTGATTACGTGCTAAGCTCGCTCAGTGAGTAATGTATGTCAATTAAAAATATTCAGAGGCACAATTTACTATACTTAATTTATATCTAATTAAAGGTCTTGGTGTGAACTTTTTAATTCCACATCACGAGAAGCCAAAAAATTCATGATTTTTTATGGTAACCGATGGAAATGACATGAGAAAAAAAATTTTCGAATATAGATTAAAAATTAAATTAATATTAATAAATATTATATTAATATAATTATTAATAATATAATTATTAATAAATAAATTAATAAATAAATAAATAAATAAAATTAATAAATAAATACGCATATCTCAACTTGCATTTACCGTCGAATCATTAAAATTTATTAGTACGGTCATTTAAAAATCAATCCTCGAATTTTATAATGACGCATAAAAGAATTAGCCTCGCCATGCATGTAACGAACAGTATTCGCTTGAAGCATACCCGATGGCTGCGGCAAATGTCGTCGATTTATTTTTCTGAAATATGGTTCAAGAGCTGAGTGTCCATAGGCTATTAAAAAAAAGAAAAACAAAACGCTTGTACTCGTGGATCGACCAAAGCTAGCAAATACGAACTCTCCAATGTCAAGGAGATCTTCCGTGCGATAGAACAATTTCAACTAGTGCGAAAGCCGTCGAATTTTTTTTTGTAGAATATAGTTTAAGAGCTGAGTGTCTGTGGGCCGTCGAAAGAAAAATTTTGAATAAAACACTTGTACTCGTGGGTCGGACGAAGCTATCGCACACGAACTTGCGTATGTTATGGAGATATTTCGCGCGATGTAAAGTCAGGCGCAACTGCGTTCACTGTCGATTAAGATTTTTAAGTTGTATTTTTAAGAAAAACGTCCATGGACAACAGAAAGGTGAAAAAAAATCGAAAATTTTCCCAGATTGATCGACCGAAGCCAACGCACACGAACTCGCGTATGTTATGGAGATATTTCGCGTGATGCCACGTCAGGTGCCACTGTATTCGCTGTCGATAAAGTTTTATAAGTAATCTTTTTATGATAAACGTCCATGGACGACAAAAAGGTAAAAACAAAATCGAAAATTAGCCCAGCATCGGTCGACCCACGAGTAGAAGTGTTCAATTTTCCTTTTTTTTAATAGCCCATGGACACTCAGCTCTTGAACCATATTCCAGAAAATTAAATCGATGGCTTTTACACTAGTCGAAATTGTTCCATCGCGCGAAATATCTTCATGACATACGCGAGTTCGTGTGCGTTGGCTTCGGTCGATCAATCTGGGAAAATTTTCGATTTTTTTTTCACCTTTCTGTTGTCCATGGACGTTTGTCTTAAAAACACAACTTAAAAATCTTAATCGACAGTGAACGCAGTTGCGCCTGACTTTACATCGCGCGAAATATCTCCATAACATACGCAAGTTCGTGTGCGATAGCTTCGTCCGACCCACGAGTACAAGTGTTTTATTCAAAATTTTTCTTTCGACGGCCCACAGACACTCAGCTCTTAAACTATATTCTACAAAAAAAAATTCGACGGCTTTCGCACTAGTTGAAATTGTTCTATCGCACGGAAGATCTCCTTGACATTGGAGAGTTCGTATTTGCTAGCTTTGGTCGATCCACGAGTACAAGCGTTTTGTTTTTCTTTTTTTTAATAGCCTATGGACACTCAGCTCTTGAACCATATTTCAGAAAAATAAATCGACGACATTTGCCGCAGCCATCGGGTATGCTTCAAGCGAATACTGTTCGTTACATGCATGGCGAGGCTAATTCTTTTATGCGTCATTATAAAATTCGAGGATTGATTTTTAAATGACCGTACTAATAAATTTTAATGATTCGACGGTAAATGCAAGTTGAGATATGCGGATCAACAACATTTAATTTATCATTTTCATCAGTTTGTACAGAAGATTTGTCGAGCAAGTAGGCCATTGTTAGAAACTGCTCCATTGTTTCCCGCCGTTGCTAAGACCGCTGTGAGCTGCTCGCTGTAACGACAATGGCAGGCAGCGCCGTGGCCGCGTACCGTATGCGTATGTAAATAACTATTTCAGCATACGCGCACGTTTGAGGCGTATTACGCGCTGAGCGTGCTGCGTGGATAAAAGGCTCGAATTCAGTCGAGCAGCGCTACTCAGCTGTAATGACTCTACTCGGCTGTAATATAGGCCTATTATAGGCCGAGGAGAATTATTACAGGTTGAGCAGTGGTGGCGCGTTCTGGCGGCACTCAGAAGTAGCACATCTACACCGACTACTGCTATGATAGAGTTCAAAATATAGCCTCACTTTTGAGGCGAACAAACCTTCATCATGGATTTTCAATCCATGTTTGCGATTTGCGCTAGCAATCAGGAAGAATACGAAAGTGACAGTGAGAATGAAGAAGTATATTATACATTTTCATTATATTGCTCCTCCAAACGTGCGCATGACAAATCAACACAGCTCGCCTTCGGCTCGCAAAACTTTCTATAAAATGAACTCTTTTTGCGCATACGAAATCAAACTGCAGTGTGCATATTTGATAGCTCCTCAAAACGTACGCTTATGCAGAAAAATTTTTTATACAGCCACTGATGTGTAAATAACTATTTCTGCCTAAGCGCACATTTTGAGCGCTCCTCAACTGTACGCCCGTCTCCTCGACCTGTATTAAATGATTTCAGTGCAAGGAGAAGCCCGAATCTCCTCGACTTTGCTCACACGCATTACTCATTGACTACGTTTAGCGCGAAATCAGCCTCAAACGTTCACATAGGCTGAAAATTAATATAAAATTTTATATAGTGGTTTCAGGTTTCATTAATCTCATCTACTTATCGTTCTGTTCTTTGAAGCATTACTAAATCCCAAGCTTTGAGAATATCGAATACTTCACCTGGTCGACCTTTTCGACTGTCTTGAACCGTGTATATTGTGAAATTATCCACGTATAACGAGGCATCGTTGCATATTTAATGCAAATATAAGGGTGAACAGTGTATACGGAAACCGCGTATAACGAGGGACGCCTGTAAATTAAAAAATGCCCGACGCGAGCCCACTGTGTAATTGAGCTTAGACTCCGTAATATGTGAGGTTATCAGATTAGACATTTTAAATTTACTATGCAGCAATAGTTTGTGAGCTTCTTATGACAATCAACCTGTATCATTAAATAACTTTATAACACCATTCTGATTTCAACTCTTGTTACTTATTCAATCGAATTATAGGATTTGCAAGTTGGTTCAGTATTTTTATATGGAGTTAAGATAATTTCTCTTACCATTGAAAAACAAGAAAGATTATGTTTAGCTCAAATTAGTAATACTCTACTAAAAGCATTTAGCTACAATGAAATACATAATAGAAGAGTAGCATTAGGAATAACGTGTATTCAATGCACTCCAGCTCAACTAGAAATTTTAAGACGAGCAGGTGCTATGCCTGCATCTTCAAGAAGATGTGGAATGATAACTCGTCGAGAAGCTGAGCGGCTTTGTAATTCGTTTTTGGCAAATTCTACACCACCAAGGTAATGATTTAAATTGCGATAATTTTCAAATACATTTCATAAAATTTACAGAAGAATCGATCGAGTAATCGATATAAGAAAATATGAAAATTAAAAAAATAGCACGGCCAGTGTAACAACACTTTAAAGGAATCTTATATGGATCGCTCTTCACGCACATGACTATCCTCACGAGTTGCAGTATAGTTGTAACGGAAAAATAGATTTTCACGTTAAGGCGCGAGCATGATAGCACGGGACTCGCCGTGCTGAGAAGGCACGGCGAGCAGGCGAGAGGCCGAGAGTCACTCTGAATTCGACTGTTGCAGTGACTAGTCACATCGCACGCGCTGCTTTGAACTTTATAGTTGCCTTGTAAATAGAGTGCAGTGCCGTGGATATACTATCTCGTGAGATATCTCTTGTGTTACACGACGATTGTCTCTGTCGTTACACGACGACCCCCAGAGCGAGCTCCAGAACACACTGTACGAGTACGCGCTGTACATCACAACCCAGAGCGAACTCCTAAGCAGATCTGCAAGCGACTAAACGTAAGAAATATCTTTTGTACATGCAAGCGAGCGTTTGACCTTATGTCACCCCTTTTTACCGCGAATTGTAATCTTAGTATCATATCGTAAATCACGCGAATATTGAATAAACCGAGCACATTTGTTTAACAATTAAATATATTGCTGAATCTTTTCCTACGGCAACCCACCCACTTCAGCACTAGAAATTTTCGACGAGAAGATAACTCGTCGAGCTACGGTGCACGAGATTCACCATCAAAAGTAAATAACTCGACGAGCGATTCGCTCGACGAGTAAGTATTTTGTAGCCCGGAATCAATATCCTTACAGTTTCATGCTGTCCGAACTAGTCGGTCACATTTTTAAATCCATTTCCCGTTACATAGTATATTACTGTGCTAGGCTGGAAACGGTTGATTAGCAATTGCACTCAGAATCTTTTCTCCACAGGTATAGGCAAGTATGCAATTTTACATGGGCCCTGTGGCCTAAAATTAGCAATATTTCCTTCTGCACACTGGCTGGGATATTATACTTTCAGGCCGTTACTATGTAAAATGATATACTTGTGTTAGCGTAAAATATTATTCTGTTCCATCGCGTTTGATCGTTGATTAAGGTAGTGTGAGTTCGTTGATTAAGGTAGTGTGAGTTCGTAAGTTGAAAAATATTTACGAAAAAATTAAATTAATTATTTTCAAAAATTTAATAAAAATTATTACTAAAAAATTTGAAAAAATAAATCTAAAATTTTAAGTTAGCTGAAGTGAAACTTCTCCAAAATTTATTAATTAATAACATCAAAATATAAAAGTAAAAAAATCTTGAACAATTACATTGTGACTTGTTTAAATTTTAATTTTTTCGATTTTTCAAGATCTTTTTTCTTTCGTAAGAATAGTCATTTACGTGAAGGGCAAACTATATATATATATATATATATACTAGGGGGGCTCCGCCCCCCTGCTCGCTCCGCTCGCCAACCCCCGATTAAGTTTAACACTTAAATAAAAAAAATAATGATATTTTTAGTAATAAAACGGTCAAGTATTTTATTGATGAAAAATTAAAAAAAAATAGTCTGAAGGAAATACATTTTTGGCTAAATTTATCTAGTCCGGGAGCGGGCTACCTTCCCGTAGAAAACTGTAGGTGAATGGTTAGAATAAGGTGTTATCGATCAATTTTGACGCACGAATTTGGTGGTTAATTTTAGCTCTGAGTGGTACCATATCGTCAAAAATCCATTTGTTTAATTAAAATACCAAAATGGTCGAATATGGATCTTTAAACATCATGTTCGTGTTCTACCAAAAATTTTTTGAGAAAAATGTTCCTTGTGATTTTTCTCTAAAATGCATATTTATCGAGTTATAAGCCAATGAAAATGAGAAAAACGCTAATTTCGTGATATTCGATTGCGTGTAATAACATGAAAAACAATATTTTCGATGATGTGAGCGCTTTTTATTATTCTTCGGACATCTCTATGCAAAGTCTTGTAGTTTTTTTTTCAAGATTTCTAAGGATTACCTAACGATAAATATGCATTTTAGAGAAAAATCACAAGGGACATTTTTTTCTTAAAAATTTTCTTAGAATACGAATATGATGTTTAAAAATCCATATTCGACCATTTTAGTAATTTTTTTAAACAAATGGGTTTTTAACCACATGGCACTACTTGCAGCCAACATTAATTACCAAATTTGGGTTCAGCGAGTCAAAATCCATCGATAGCACCTTATTCTAATCATTTACCTATAGTGTCTTGCGGGAAGGTAGCCCGCTCCTGGACTGATCGTATTACGACACGATTTTTTTTTGATTTCTTGGAAATTTTTTGTTGTTTATTATAAAAGTACCTATGTATAAAAGTACCTGTGTATTATTATACGTGATATACGTTTTTGTTATAAAAGTACCTGTCACGTATCCGGTGGATTTACGGTGGAGGAGCAGTGGAGGAGCAGTGGGGGAGCAGTGGGGAGCAGTGGAATTTTTGGGGAGCAGTAATAATTTATACGGGGAAAAACACCGAAAATCATGTAAAAATCACGTGAATTTCACATTTTTGAAGAAATTGTGGGGGAGCAGGTGGAAATTTTGGGGAGCAAACGAACCACATCCTCTCTACTATATAGTAATAGATATATGGCCGATTCTCTGTGAAATCGAATGGTCAAGAAAATTTATTTTCTGCAAATATGAAAAACTTGTATTTGATGTCAGTGTTTATTCTCAAAGCTCGAGCGGGTAAATTGTCTATACCGATCTGCCTAGAGACTTTGCTCTGTTAAGTGATGCCGTCGGGTTTTAACTAAATGAGTCGGGAACTTAAGGATTAATTTTTTGTAACAGCTTTAATCGAAATAACACTTAAAACTAGTTAATAAGAAGAGTATATATAGTACGACGCACTGGTCGATTTGATAAATATTACAACACTGTGGTCGAGTGTCGAGCTCTGTAATTCGACGACTGACCAGTAAAATTCTGCGGCCGTTACAACGTGTCGCGCTCCTAACATCAACACAAACAAAGTACAATGTGTACAGAAAATAGGCGCGAACTAATTCGAACAGTCAGATTTGTCACAAAAAAATTTTAGAAAAATTAGGGCCTTCTATGACACTTTTTCAGAGGCCCAAAGTTGGCCATTTTAGGGTTTTTTTGAAATTCATGAAAAATCACAAATATTCAAATAATTTCAGGATCAGGGTAGAATGATACAAAAGTAAAAGTGCCCAGCAACTTTTTTGTTGAAATTTTTCTAAATTTTCAGAAAAATAATATGCCAAAGTGATTGGAGCCACCTAAAGACGTAATAATTGGAAAACATAAAAAAAAACATAAAACAAGAAATCTGCCATTACAAAATTTTTGAGGCAGTAGTTGACATCTTTGGAAAGCTTTTTACATAGTTTAGGATATGAAAGTCCGGTTCGAACTCGAGTAGATTACTTGTTTTATGTTTTTTGTTATGTTTTCCCATTATTACGTCTTTAGGTGGCTCCAATCACTTAGGCATATTTTTTTTCTGAAAATTTGGATAATTTTTAACAAAAAAGTTGCTGGGCACTTTTACTTTTGAATCATTCTACCCTGATCCAGGAATTATTTGAATATTTGTGATTTTTCATGAATTTCCAAAAAAAAAACCTAAAATGGCCAACTTTGGGCCTCTGAAAAAGTGTTATAGAAGGCCCAAATTTTCTGAAAATTTTTTGGGACAAATCTGACATCAAATACAAGTTTATCATATTTGCAGTAAAAAAATTTTTTTGGCCATTCGATTTCACAGAGAATCGGCCGTATATATGGGTCAAAATAATACTTTTTTAAATTTTCGTCCGTACGTATGTCAACCATCTTGACGCGCTTTTGGTATGTTATAGTACATGATAAAAAAGTGCCTAACCCAAAATTTGGGACCCCTCCCCCCTCCTACCCCCCTCCTTCCCTATAAACATCCATTTTCGATCTACATTTTTTCTGAAGGCTTGAAGCAATTAAGAAATCTGAAAAAATTCAAAAAAATACTTTTTAATTATCCAAACAACCTTGAATTTTTTCAGATTTTTGGAGTACTTCAAGTCTCCAGAAAAAATCATTGAAAAATTTGAAAATTCATATGAGGCGTTAAAATGCAATTACTTTTATGAAAATTTTTTCACTTTTTTATTTCATGAATAAAAGTAACCTCAAATTTTTTCAGACATTTGAACGCACCTTTTGAAGCCAAAAACCATTTTTTTTGACGAAAATAATTTTTTTAGGACGATACGGAACCTCGAAAAATCCAGAAAATTTTTTTTTTTTTCATGAAAATACATAACCTCAAAATATTTTAGATTTTTAATTGAAGGGTGATTTTAATTGAAGATAGCTTCTAGGGCCGAAAAATGCTATTTTTAGCAAAAAAAGGTTCCTAGAACCCAATGTTTCCTGAAAAAAAAAATTGAAAATATTCTTTTTGAATTTCTTGTCAAATTTTCATAAATTTTGACCATTTTAGGGTTCTGATTGAAGTCTCCTAGCTCAATCTAGAGCATCAAAATAGTTTTATCATTTCTCAATGTGTCTTTAGAAACGTCTTCAGAATATTGCATTAATCTTTGTCCTGCTCTAGATTGAGCTAGGTGGCTGCAATCAGAAACTCGAAACGCCTAAAATTTATCAAAATTTGACAAGGAATTCAAAAAAAATATTTCCAAATTTTTTCACCGAAACCATCAGGTTCTAGGAACCCTTTTTTGTTAAAAATAACATTTTTCGGCTCTAGAAGCTATCGCTTTCAATTCAAAAATCTGAAAAAATTTTAGGTTATGTATTTTGATGGAAAACACAAGAAAAAAATTTTTCCAGATTTTTCGAGGCTCCGCATCGTCCTAAAAAAAATTATTTTCATCAAAAAAAGCGGTTTTTGGCTTCAAAAGGTGCGTTCAAATGTCTGAAAAATTTGAAGAAATTTGAGGTTACTTT